ATTTACTGGGGCGTATGAAAATCTATCAATTCAACACCATTCGACAATAAAAAAAATTATTTAAAACATTGGGAGTTGGATGTTTACAACATTGGCCAAAAAGGTTTAATGGCACCTACACACCAGTTATTTGAAGAATAATTATTAGTTGTACAATCAGGGCAAGCTACGTAAATATTGTATTTATTTAATTAGAAAAAACAATATCCCACAGCAGTTCATACATTGCTTAATTTTAGCTGCTTGGTGATAAATGTAAACAATATGGAACGCAGAAGAGGTGGTACGTATGTATACTTTGGTGTTGTACACAAAGTATAGAGGTGGCCGTGCACTCGCCGTGCCTATACCCTAAGTCTCGTATATATTTTTCCTTACTTGAATGTCCACAAATTCGTTATTGTAATCCGTCAATTTCAGAAATGTGTAACAGAGTTCCCACATTTTAAAACAATAATTTCATTTCATCTTACAGTACAAATTATACAAATAAAATGATTATAATACATAATTGTTGCTTAACACTATACTATATCATACATAATTGTTTCTTAACACTATACTACATCATACATAAGATCATTTTTTTGTTCGATAAAAGTTGTTTGGGCGATTGTAATCGCAACCAGTATGTGATGGCTATGAAAACTAGAGATAAGGAGACGAATCGGCATACTCAAAATACGGTCCCAAAAAACGCATGGTAATTGATCTTCTATAATTAACCGCATGGGCGCTGGTACTGCGTACGATGTTCAAAATACATGGCTTCTTATGGGGATTATACATAATTTTGTCAAAATAATAAAAATAAACTTGTTTATAGCCAAATAAAGCACAGAACATACTGTTGTATTTATTTCTAAAAAGGTCTTGCATGTTTTAATTGATAAATTATTTAATTTTATCTATATAAAATACAAATTAGTTATGTATAACCAAATTCGAAAAGGTTTCTTAAATGCTGAAATTTGATAAGTACAATTTCGTGGCAAATTTTTTTTTGAATTGAACCAATTCTACCATCGATTAGGGTACTGTCAACTCACAAATGGAGCACATTTTGAACACTTGATAAAGTAACCATTATGTTAAAAATGTTATACTTTCAATTGTTACGTTTTAATGTAGTTGAAAATAGTTTGTACTAAAAAATTTATTGAGACAATTAGGCGTTGCCAGACTTATTTTATTTATTTAAGACCTTCCAGACTACATAAAATCATAAGTGTTACATATGGTTGAACTCGTATTGAATAGGAGATTCCAATAATGACTGAATATAGAGGGTGATGAATTTGAAAAACCAAAGTGACTAATATTTTAAAAGAAACGGCAAATCTGACAACATTGCAAATATCAAATCTGGAATCACCGTATCCCAAAATAGGTGTACCCCAAATTTTGAACAATTAGGACTAGCAATTTACGAGATAATTGGCCGTTTCCAGACTTTTGGGCCACTCTGTATATGCTGCCACTGTTCTAAACGTTTAGTATCCTATAAAAATCATTTACAATGACACAATTGGGGTCAAAAAAAAAATAACACTAACATTAAAACTCTATAAAAAATAAATTTTCTTTTCTAGTAAGTTACATTAAATGCATAATTATTGTTGTTTGTAAGTCAGCATCTATGACTGTAAAATTTTATATTATAGAAACTTGTAATAAAATAAACTACACTTCAGTAAGATACATATTGTGACTAGTTTACAATAAATATATTTAGACATGAATACATTATTTTACTTACATTAGAAGTTTTAAAAAGACATTAAATTGATTTCTTTTTGTTATTTGTTTAGTTTTACTTTTGATTTTTTTCCTGTTTTACAATCTGGAACGACGTAAATCTTGCTTCGATGTTTTTTGTCACTCATGTTACTTGTACTCAGGTACTTTTTTTCACATTATTTTGATTTTTTTCACCATTTTTTTAAAAAATCACTTCATTTTACATTGACTTACATAGAAAATTGACACCACTGTCATTAGACATGCCAACTACAGTCAATATCGCGAACTTAAAAAAAGAAGGACGGTAATTTGAAATTTGACCATTGCCGATTCGCCTCCTTCTCTCTAGTCTTTATAATGATGGCGCACTAGTCAATTTTTTCTTTACGCCTGTTACTGTTGTGTGTATCCAGTCATGAATAGCGGGAACATTTAAAAATGTTTTAGGGCGGGAAATTAAAACATGGATTCAAAAATAAATAGTTTTTCTATACAAATTTTTAATTAAAAAGTATTACACAACCAAGAAAAATAGAAAACTATATTGTTTGCGAGTTAAGTTCCAGAAATTAATACATGCGAAAAATAATATGCGAAAATAAACACTATCCAAACTAATTAAACAACAAAATCAGACTCAAAGAAATAAACGCAGGCACAAATTAAATTAATTTTAATAAAATGCACACGCTCATAACCACATTTATAACACTGTCAGTTCTAGTCTATACGTCACACGTCGACAACGTCAAAAAAACAGTAGCATCAGTGACCTCTAGCGCTGGTTGGAGTTTAATGCTAGAGAGATAAATATATGTTCAGATCAATGTAAAAGAACGAAAGTCATATATGTAACTTAAATGGACCACCGAACAAATTTTCCTATTGAGATACCCGTCTCTGTTGTCTCTGCTACCATATTTAATCGTTTTTAATAAATAAGATCGGAGATATAGGTTAAAAAAATGTTTAACTTCCATTATTTCAAGATTTGTCGGAGGGATAAACTACTAAAGTCAAAACGTACCCATCCCGTATTTTGGAAATCTAAAATTGATTTTATGTGATTTCGGTGATATCACCGAAAATCCCCCTTAATTTTATGCCATGACTTTTTTACTCTTCCCTTGTCTTTTCGTTGATGATTTCGAGAATTTCCAGAAAATTTTTCGAGTGAAAACGTAGCAGTACTTCGGGGGTGGTCACCCTTCGACCATGTCAAAAGGTTTTGCGAGATTGAGAAATATAGTTATACATTTTTTGCAATTATCTTAGCTGGTTTTTATAACATTGATAAGGTAGTACATTGCATCACTGGTACTAACATCTGGAGTGAAACCATCACGGGGGTCGGATTCTATGTAAATAGCTGGTAACAAGTCTATAAAGTAGGACACTACTAAGTAAAGCGATTTAAAAATTGGCGGGCTTCATAATTTAGATATTTGATAACTTTTACTTAAAACTACTAAACAAACAATAAGTTTAGTGAATTTTTGTTGTAGGTAAATGTTGAAAAATGGAAAATGTCACTTGTTTTAACTGAAAAATAAAAGTAGTTGAAAAATAAAACACATTTTAAACAAGTTATTAATTTATTTAGAATTACCATGTGTCTCATTATCTTCTAACTGCATATTCTGGACATAACAAGCACTATATCACACACTAAATTACTGAAAAATAAAAATATAATATAACCACATGACAATGTTTTTGTTATTAAAAAAACAACAAAAACCGATATAGTTATTATAAAAAGTCAAAGTAGTTAATTTATAAACACAATGATTGTTTTAAATACTGACTTATTAATCCGAGGACAAATCATTCTAATTTTCTTATACTTATTGTCCCTTTAAAGCCTTTACCCATCTATTTCAATCTAGAGTAGTTGTAATGCCTATTTCGGGTACAATAAGCCTCCAGCTTCAATACAGGTGAGCTTTGAAACACACTCTAATTCAGATATGCACATTCCAAAAATCTCCATACCCAGGAATATTTAAAACAAAACAAAAATAAAGGTGCAGTGTGTATCTTAAAATTAACACGAGTCATAACTTTTTTAAATTCTTCCTTATTTTCTTGCAATAAAAGGTATAAAAATTTCAATAAAAATGGAAAACATCTGAATTTATGATCTTAATAGGTGAACTATGCAAAAATTAACAAGTTGACATAAATATCATATTAGTTTTTGAACATATTTGGGTATTATTTGAGGTAAGTATAATAATGAATATCACCCAAAAATTGAACAATAACTTTTTGAGCACAAATCATTCGCCTTTTTTCATCATGGTCTTTATGAGTGAAACTATGATGAGGTTCTATCTCGGATTCTACAATATCTGTTTGTAAATTGGCTTCACACATTTCGCTCACAACTCCTTTCATTTTTTTGACCACAAATGTTTAAAATGTAGATCCATTTATCTTTTAGAGTAGTTATAATAATAGCAGGAAAAATATAAAATTTCTTGTTAGTTTTGTGCAATTAAAATTTAAATGAATCAGAAGTTAATGACATTCTTAAGAACCTCCCTATAGTTAAATTAGTTAAATCTAACTTACACTAAATTAATACAATTTACTAACCTACATTTAAAAAAAATATCACCTACATTTGAAAATAAAAATATTATCAGGCTGACACATGGGCTGACATGACATATTTATGGCAACATAACCTAATTTATTTTCAAAGCCAGATTTACACCATCTCATAATATTTAAATTTAAATTTAGCTTTAACTTTACACTTATTAACGATTATCCCTGTGTTTGATCACACATTATATTAAAAAGGAAATTTAAAGGGGTAAATCAGTAATATTGTTGATTTCTTTGTCATTGTTTTTGAAAATATATTTTTTTATGGATGGAAAACAGGTTAGAATTTAGTGATAGCAGCGCGCTAAGCGCTTACGGTTCAATTACCAACAAGGAAACAAGTCCCGCCATTTATTCAAACCTTTTCTTTTTATTTTTCTATGGAAACCATACTATTTTCATTCAAAATCTTGTTTAGTAAAGTCCATAAAGCCTTTTTTACACATTTTTCAAATCTGAAATTTGTTTTATACGTAGTCAGTAATGTCAGAGGGAACTAATTCTCTATCGATGTTTGACTGTTATTTAAAACTGATCGTAGATAAAATAACGTGAGCAACTATTATGTTCTTAATCTATCACTTAATAGTTCGCGGAAAACGTCAATTTTGTAAAAAAATAATTTTGCATTTTTTTTACAGACTTTAAACGAAACTCCACCCGCCGAATCCAATAAGTTCAATTTCAGAAGACGCGATGACTCTTCCGATCCGACCGTTATGCGACGATAGAGCGTCGCTGCCACTTCGTGGCGCCAGTGCCGCGGGCAAGCGAAGGCCGGCCTGTTTGAGCGCCGCGTGGGCCGATCCGCCTGTTAGCCGAAAAGAAAAACGTCGCGCCATCTACTCCTGGTCGGTGGGGTACGGTACGCTAAACGAGGCGGACGAAACGTCTTTGGACAGTCACGATACAAGTTACAAGGAAGGTAAGTTATAGATTTAATTACCTAATAATAATTTCAATAATAAGATACAAATGGTAAAAATTGATGGGACTATCTCTTCTCATAATACATCATCCTGAGTTCCCTAGGGGTCTATACTTGAGTCTATTATATTCACCTTATATACCTCTTCGTTCAACCCGGATTACAGAGTTGCCGTAACCAATATAAATAAAGATATTGCTAGTATTATTAATTGGTTTTCAAATAATGCCTGATGAAATAATCTTGGAAAAATGTCAGTTTTAGTTTTTGGACCTAAAAATATTTAAGAGGTAGCGGTCATTTTGAGTAACGTGTTGAGCACAAGGCTGAAAATTTGTAGATTTATAATTTAATAATGATCTATCAGCAATACCGCGGTTGCGACATCTACATTTAAATTTTTGAAAGTGTCAAACAATAGTTAAAATTAACGTGTTTTTATAAAGCTAAAACATTCAGGAAATATTCTTTAAATTATTTTATCAAAGTTATTACAACCACCAGACCATTCTGGCGGTTACTAGTGTCCGCCAGACGAGTATACAGGGTGGGCCACTTAAAGGTTCCACCCCTCTAATCTTCGTTATTAATTGACATATAGGAATAATTTTTTTTTGTATAAAAGTTTGGAGTAAGAACTTTATTATATCTGATTCAATTATTCTGTGACGTCATGACGTACTTCAGGTTTTTCCGGAAATAACGATAAATCGCAATTTATTGTTTATAATAAAAAGAAAACCCAAATTTTTTATTGAAAATTCAAATTTATTGAACATTTTTGGATAAGAATCTTTTATTAAAAATGTTCTGTCCGCTGTCAAAATGGCCGCCATATTGGATAATATTATTTCTAAATGTATTACTAATAACTCGTTTAAGGAAAAATATAAGGGAATCCATTACCTTTTAAAAACTCTTTGTTGTAAACCTTAGTATTTTTTTTAACGTCGGCCTATTTCTAACTATACGAGGTAGTTTAAAGACCGACGCTGGTGAGCACGATACCCCAAATTACACCAATGGGGTATCTTAACATTTTTGTTATTGGTAAACTTCCTATAAATTCCACCTGCTCTTATCTTAGTCATTATTTGAGATATAGAATTTATTTTTTTTTGTCTGAAAACTTTGAACAAGATTTTTCTTATAAGGGAAACGGATTCACTTATTATGTAACGAGAATACAGTGTGGCCTCTTCGTTTTCTCCCATCCCCTCACATGAAAATTATGTTTTATAAAAAAAGTTTAAAGTAAAAGATAACTAAATAAATCTTACTTTTTGTTATGTTATATGTACGTAATAACTTATTAGTTATATACACAGTTACATTTAAAAAAAAATTCTGGTGGTTTTGCGGGTTGCAAGTACGTACCAGATGACGGTAAAGTTGGTCTTTCAAACTATTGAAGAAAAGTTACTTATTACAATGCAGAAAACAATTCTTTAATTATTGTATGATTATTAGGTATATGGAGTTGTTTAGTTCTTAATTAAATAAAGTGGACTGTATAAAAATAACGTATATATTTCAAAAAAGTTGATTAACATAGACAAAAAAACAACTCAGCCCTATACGAAATTAAATCTGTTACTGATCTTAACGTAAAAATGTACAAAGGACCCAATGGTTCGGTGGCGTCTGACGGTACCCGGTAGCATCTGGGGTTTGCGTATTGTAAGACCACCTAGCGAATTATCCATTAAAAAAAATTGGTATTTTCATTTAAAAAGTAAAAATAAACTGCAATTTACTGTTAAATAATGAAATCCGTTATAAGAAAAGTCTTATTCGGAGCTTTCAAACAGAAAAAAAAATCAATTCGATATCTGAAATAATGATTAAGATCCATCAGGTGGAATATTTAAGAAGTTTACCAATAACAAAAATGTTTAGATACACCGCTGTCTTAATTTGGGTTGGTCTAAATTTCAACACTAAGGTTTACAAAGAGTTTTTAAAGATTATGGATCTCCATATATTCTTCCTTAAACGAGTTATTAGTAACACATTTAGAAATATTATCCATTATGACAGCGGACAGAACATTTGGGTATGTTCTTCCAGGCTAATCTAACTTCGTAACGTAGTCGGTCTACATCCATTCTTCTACCTATCATATCCCATACATGTTCAATGGCCGATAAGTCAGGTGACCTTGGACGCCATGGAAGTGTGGTCACATTACCTCATCGAAGAAAGTCTCTGGTAACTGCAAAGATATGTAGTCTGGCGTTGTCTTGCTAAAATATGGGGTTTTGCAGTTACTCAAGGCATGACAACTCAACAGGTTGTAACATGTTCATGTTTCTGTCTAAAAATACTAGTGGTGACCTTCTTCTAATTGATATGGCACCCCATCCCATGACGAATCTGATAAGCGCAGGCTCGCGCTCCATGCAAAATTGAAGTTGGAGCCTTTCTACACGTCTCCACCTGACTCTTTTACGGCCATCATGAGCCCACAAGCAGTAACGCGACTCGTCACTGAAAGCGACCTATCCCACTCCTTATTCCATTGAGTCTGTTCATTTCAGCCTCCCGTAGACCCCACTATTCTACCTCGTTTAAATTCACTTAATTGGCGATACTCGGTACGTCTTCTTATGGAAGGCATTGCTAAACAATGTTTTAAATACCATAAAATAAATTAAAAAAAAAATACCTCTTAGCAAATTCAACAAAAAAAAAATAAACACTTTTTTTTGTTAAATTTTAATATAGGTACTCTGGTATTTAAAGATAAATTGGGGCAAAAATGTTATCGTTGACTACACTTCATGTTGGAGTTTCAATGTCACAGAGTATATATCCAATGCAGATAACAATCCAAAGTTAGTTGGCATTTGGTAAACTTTGAAAGAGACAAATAAAAAAAAACTATAAAAAGTCTAACCCAAAAAGACATCAGATCTTAAAGATTATCCATGTCCAGTTATCAAACTTATAAAAGAAACTATGGAAATATATTAGATTATTTGTCACATTTAATCACAAACATTTTCTCACTGGTAGTTTCCCAAAAATGGTGAAGAATCAGTAATTAGTAACTACAGTTCGATTTCAATTTTAAATAAATTTTCCATAATTGTTGATATACTTACAAATAGACTTTTTTTATTATTTTAAATAAATTTTTTTCTTCTGCCCATAATATATGGTTTTTGTTCACGGTCAGCCTCTGATACTACAATGTATTCCGTTAATTACGTGGTAGAAGGCATTGAAAACGGAAAGTTTGATGATTTGTCAAAGGCTTTTGATTGTGTGTCACACGATATCCTTTTTGAATAAGCTCAGGTACTATGGGATTAGAGGAAATTCCTTGTATAGCAATTGGTTTCAAAGTGTATTTTATAATAATAGCCAGTCGGATTTAAACTCTGTAAGTACCGCAAGGATCAATTCTCGGGCCGTTAATTTATATCATATACATAAATGATTTATGCAATTTTATGAAACCTCATTACAGTATATTGTGACGAAAGTCTAATTTTAAAGTTTATTTATTTAAAAACACACTATTTACAATTTATTCCAGACGTACTATTTAATTTATATAATATTTAGACACTAACAATTCTAATTTATTTCTTACACTTTAACTTTTCAATACAACGTTCTATATTCAACTAACTCGGCGCTGATAGGCGGCTATTTATATTAAGTCCAACTCCTACTAGAAGTCTCCAGATGGTCGTCTCGAAAATTCTATCTGTGACTCAACGGCACACTTCGCCCGTTCTACCCGTTTCTCGAGCCGCAGCGAAATTCCCAGAACATTCCGTCGCCTCGAGCACGAGTTGGTTGCCTTCTGAAGGCCGCGTGCGTACACAGGGTAGGCTTTAAGAATTTTCATGACAATATTATTTGCTGATGATACTATCTATTTTATCTAAAAGTTTTAAGTTAAATCGTTAATTATTAATGAAAAACCCTGTAAATAAATTGTATTCATAATTTTTATATAAATGATGTACTCCTCTAATGTGCTTTTTTATAAATACAATAGTTACATTTAAAAAAAATCCCTTTTTGATTAATATACCAAATGCTCTTTTGGTGATTTGAATTGAACTTGGCAGGTTTGTTTTTAGTATTAAGAGAATAATTACTGAGGCCCTTCCTATGGGGCCTGAGTATTGCTTTCGTGCTGACGAAAAAATTTTGTTACACCCATTTTTTCATGTTTTCGATCATTCTGAGTCAGAAAATGCAAAAAAAAATGTTCGTCTGGTCGTCTGTGTGTATCTATGCCGGCACGATAACTTCAGAACGAAAGTTCTGATTGACTTGCGGTTTTGATTTTCTTGAATAATTACTTCTAACTTAGAACCCTATTGATTTTTAGAATTTTCGGTTCATCCTAACTTCTTTATTATCAAATTTCTTAAAATCCGCCTATGCATTTCTTATGTGACAATTTTAGGAATTCCAATTGTTTCTAACGTCTAAAGTCTAACAGTCTTAACATTCCATAAATTGCAAACATTCTCTAACGACCTGTCAAACAACAGCTGTTAATAGTAAAGGTGAGATTTCTAAGGCGTGTTGCGACCTTCATACTTGCAACCATGGCCATTTTGGAGGCTATTTTTATTCGAAATTAGTCGCCAAGTCTGTCAATTTATAAAAAATATATAACCAGTTTCTTAAAAATTACTTTTTTATGGTGGTGCCGACTTAAGCGTATTACTATTTCGCCTCTAGCCACAAAAACATCTTCATCAAATTTACTGGCTCTCTGTCGCAACGACAGAATAATTAACCGGCTATTTTATTTGGCAAACATCAGAATAATGCTTGGCTGTGCCTGTTAAGTATCAAGATGTCAACTGTGATGTGTGAATGGCTCTTAAATGTCAAATTATTTAAAAATGTATGCTTCTTTCACAGAACTGAAATTAGGCTTTTTTGATATTGCAAATAATTTGTAGTGTATTTCAATTCAGGCTTTCCATAAATAAAGGTGTACAGCAAGACAGATAATATAA